CCTTACCCTGTGCGATGACATCATGCTCACAAGTAACCTCCAAGCCAACTCACTAACCAGACTCCTATTGCATGTGAATTTGGCCTGTTCTTTATCTTGTTCTTGCTTGAGGGTTTAGTAATCTTTTGAATACTCCTTACTGATTCTGAGAAACAGTGGTTTCAACTACTGATAGAAGGTACTCTATAAAAATAGAATTTTCTGGCTCGGCGCCTGTGGCTCAAGTGGCTAAGGCGCCAGCCACATACACCTAAGGTGGCGGGTTCGAATCCCCAGCCCGGGCCCGCCAAACAACAATGATGGCTGCAACCAAAAAATGGCCAGGCATTGTGGCGGCCACCTGTAGTCTCAGCTACTTGGGAAGCTGAGGCAGGAGACTCGCTTGAGCCCAGGAGTTGGAGGTTGCTGTGAGCGTGATGCCATGGCACTCTACCCAGGGGGATAGCTTGAGGCTCCATCTCAAAAAAAAAAAAAAAAAATAGAATTTTCTGTAGGGTTTTGGCTATGAAGCATGCAGAGACCTTTGGTGATGAGAACAGACCAGGAGCAATGTGGGGAAACAAACCTGATTTCAGCCTTGACCTGTCCTCCCAAGGCTTATATGTCCAAGAAGGAACACAGGCCAATAAGGTGTGTGTGTGTATGTCTGTGTGTAAATTTCAAACACAGAGAAGCAGATAGACTAGTACGATGAAGACCCATGTGTCCATTGTTCAATTTCAGTAACCATTAGCTTTCAGCTTCTCTTGTTTCATCTTGCCCACTGCTCCATACATGCATCCCATTCCCATGGAATTGTCTATGGGTTAATTCCCAATTCCCTGAGATAGTAGCATCACCCTCATTCTTACCATTTTCTCTCATAATAGACACTATTTTTTTATCTGTCATAGTAGTTGACTCCTTGGGGGAAAAATAAGCTTTTATCACAATAAAGATTTCTGAATTACATGTTGCAGCTTAACTGTCTATTGAGTCTTCTGGAATTTTTGGCATTTGAAAGATCCCGGATGGGCTTGTGATTGGATATATTAGTCATTTTTTCTTTATTATTTCTTTTTTACTTTGGAGGTTTTTTGACTATCTTGAACAGGAACTATAAAAACTAAAAAAATAAGCTACAGTTTGGAGGACACCAGAAGGATTTCATAGCACACGCAGGGAGGTCTGATGGGCCGCTAGGTGGCAAGAACATAAGTTTTGGAGTCAGAACGAGCTGGATTCAAATTTTGGCTCTACCAACTTCCACCTCTGTGACTCTAGTCAAGTTTCTCAGCCTTTCTGAATACAGTCTTCTCATCTATAAAATGAGGATAATAATCCTACTGTACAGACCTATGAAGACTAAATGAGTTGGATGCGTGGTAAAGACTCAGTGCCTCAAGCAAGGCAGTGATCAGTACTCAGAAGCAATTTTTACTGCCCATTCATTTCCATAACTGTGATCTTCTGATCTTGCAGTGGCTGAATCAGGGTTGCTTCTAAGTTGTCTTTATGGATGTTTCACCCACATCCATTTGGACCTGTTACATCTTTCTTCTGACATCTCAAATATTTTAAATACTGGTCTAAAGGATGAGGTACTGATGCTAAAGGAAGGTCAGGTTGTGATCACCACAGAGCAATTTGGAAGTATCCCATGGTGAATTTCCCTGGACCCAGGAAACTCTGAGGCACTCTTAATACATTAGTCAGCTGAACTTGGAGGGAAAAAAAAGTGAACAGAGACTTTCTTGCCAAGTTTTCATGTTTCTATATTTGACTGAAGTCAGACAGATTCAGCCAACCAAACGAGGTGTCTGAGCTTAAGCAGAACAAGCACAGTCTTTGTCTCTGTGTGTGGTGGTCAGAGCCAGATTCTGGAGCCAGCCTGCCCAAGGGTGAAGCCTGGCACCACTTCTTCCTACCTGGGTGACCTTGGCCATTGTGCCTCCATTTCCCTTGCAAAAGAGTACCTGTCTCAAAGGGCTTGTGAGGCACAAAGCATTCAGAACAGCTCCTGGCATAGAGTGAGCTCTCAGTAAATGTGAGCTATTATTTTCATCACACAGGTTGTGAGGTCAATTCTGTGCTACCGGACATTTCCTGGGTTCAGTCTGCAGAGGCTGAGCAGTGCTAGTAAGGGTCTCTCCCTCACTTTTCATTCATTCTGCCAATGCTTGCTGATCTCCTGCCATGCTACTTTCCTAAGTGCTGCAGACAAACCAGTGAACAAAGCAGTCAAAAATCACTGCTCTAGGAATTAGCATTCTAAGCTCCTTTCAAGGGTGCTGACCAGTGTATCTGAGACTTTGCTGTTGAGAACAAGAGCTCTGGGTATTGATCCCCATGTTCTTGTACTGAGCCACTGCTTCATTTGGGTCTCTTTAGTTCTACATCATTACTCCTTTCTGTTTGCATACCAGTCAGTTATTTTTAAGCATCCAAGATGTGCCACATCCTGTTGTGAGTTGAACGCCCACAAGTGTCTGTAGCAAGTGCAGACAGCAGATTAGTGCTCACTAACAATGCAGCAGGTGCTCTGGTCAAGAGAAGCACAGAGGCAGTTTTCTGGAGAAAGCAAACTCTGAAAGGTGATTTAGGTAGAGTGTGGGTAGAGGGACTTTCTAGGTGGAGAAGGCATGGAGGTCTGAGGCTGCCTGAAAATTTGGGAACTATAAATAGGCCCTTAATATGGTTGCAGCAATGAATGGAGTGGAGGGAAGTGGAGGAGGAATTGCTAAGAGGAACTCTAAGCAGGAGCTATGTAATGAAGGGCGCTGTGTACTCTGCTCAGGAGTCTGAACTTTCTCCTGAAGACCTTGGAGGACCAGGCAAGCATATGAAGCTTGGAAGTGATACAGTGTTGGAACTGCTGCTTTGTCAACAGTCTGGATTTGAAGGATAGCAAGGAGGCCTTCTGAAAGGCAGCTGTCCTCTGTGGTCCATGTTACTTCACATAGTTACAGCCAAGCAGACCATTGCAGCATTGATCTCCTTGGCTCACCCGTTCATTTCGTTGCTCTGATAGCCATTGGGTGCCTATTTTGTGCTCTCATGGAGCTTCCATGTTAGTGGGAGGGGGTGGACGAGGGAGGAATCATATAGTAAACAAAGAACATCAATTTCAGGTAGATGTAAGTGCTATTTAACAACTGAAGTGAGAGAGAGGGTCTGGGTGGGTGGGTTGGGGGGAGTGCCTTGAGAAACAGTGGTCAGGGAGTAATCTCTCACCTGGATTACTGCAGTAGCCCCCCACCTAGTCTCCTGGCTTTTCCTCTTGCTCTGCCATTCTTACCACTGCAGCTGGAGCAATCCTTTCCAAAACCTTAGTGAACTCCTCTCCTAGAAACCCTCCAGTGGCTTCCCACATCACTGTGGGTACAGTCAAAGTGGTTGTGGTGGCCACAGGCCTCCCCCATCAATTGCCCTCTTTCTCTTTCAATCGTATCTTCTACCCCTCTCCTGTTTGCTCCCTCTGCTCCGGCCAATGGGCTTCCTTCCTGCAGCTTGTACTTATCACATGTGCCCTCAACCTCACTGCCAGGCACTGCATGGCTTGTCCCTCACTTCAGGTCTTTGTGCTTGTGTTGAAGGCTTCCAAGACCATATGCAGATTTGAAGATTTGTAGGATTGCTAGGGCTCTGCAGGTAGGTACATTCAGGGTTATGATCTATCAGGGTGGGAAGATGCCGAGGAAAGTCAGCAAAGGGAAAGTCCAAAGGAAGCCAGGCACAGCTTCTAAGAGTCCTCTCCCAAGGGAGTCACACAGGACACATGTCACCGCCCCCTCTGTGGGTGCTGGGAACACATGTGAAATGCTGTCTTACCAGGAAGCTCATCAGCTCAGTGGCCAGAGCTGGCGGCTGGTCATGAAGGCAGCCTCTGCCTGTGTACCAAAACTCCAGAATCCAGGAGGAACCCAGGTGTTCATCGTAAACTGCATGGTTTGCACAAACGGGTTAGGTGCAGTGAACTGTTTATATCAGGGAATGGTGGGAACCCTCCCAAAATCTGAGTTCCTGGATGCCAGCAGAGGGCCTATCTTTCTAGAGATAGCAGTGTCCGGCTTTCTGTGTGTTTTCTGCATAGCTCAGTAGCACCTTCTATGTGAGACCTTCCCTCACCATCTGATGTAAAATAATAGCTCCCCACTGCACCCCTGTTTTGTTTCTCTCCATAGCACTCATCACCGTCTAAGATACTATAAAACTTCCGTGTTTAATGGTTCATGGCTCATGCCTCCCATTAAACTGTAAACTCCACGAGCACAGGGATTTCTGCGTGCTTTATCACCACCCCCCAGCACCTGGGACAGTGTCTGGCACACGGCAGATCCTCAGTAATCTGTGATGAATGAATGAATGAAGGACTGAATGCTTAAACACAGGAAAACACGGCACATGTGGTCAGAACAGAGCGAGCCCTGCAGAGAGAGGTGGGAAACATGGCTGGGCTGTGGGTCTAGACAGGCTTCTTTTGTAACTGTCGTGACTGCCATGGAGCTGCCCGGATCAGATCTTTACCAATTTCTCAACTTCAGTTCACCCTCCTTCCCCCACCGTCCTCAGGGCCAAGTATCGGTCCCTCTTCCTTCAGTTGATAGGGGCATTCCAAAGTCTCTTATTATGTGTGTTATAATACTCCATGATTTTTCTGTTCTAGAAAAATCTAGAGCTTATCACAGTTATAATAATTTAATGATTGTGTATCATTTAGTTAGTAACTGAATTCTACCTTAGACTGAAAATTCCTGGCTTGTTATTAACACTATATCCTCTGTGTCCAGCTCAGAACTCAACAAATACCTGAATGACTGACTGCTGTTCTTCAGAGTGCAGGTGACCCTGGACCGGGCTCTACTTCCAGGGGACCTAGAAACACCACAGGGCTTTGTCACGTTCCCCTGCTGAGACCTGGGTCAGCCTCTCTCCCTGAGTCTGGAGCACACAGCGCCCAGCAGTCACAGCCTCGCAATGCCCTGACTGCTGACACTTGCCTGTGGGTGTTCATTTCATAGGAATCCTTGGAAAAGGCCCAGCTGCTTGCACTGGCTGGGGACCAGCTCATCCAGAGCCACCATTATGCAGTGGACTCCATCAGGCCCAGGTGTGTGGAACTTAGACACCTCTGTGATGACTTCATCAACGAAAACAAGAAAAAATACGACATTTTAGGAAAGTCCTTGGAGTTACATAGACAGCTAGACAAGGTGAGCAAAACTGAGATGAACAGCATGTCCGCAAGATTTCCTATAAAGCAGTTTTACTTAGCCTTGTCCTCCCTGCCTCACGTGATTGCTGAAAGGATCAAGTACTTTATACAAAAAACGTCGTGGGCTATAGGTATTAAAAAGTGCAGATTTTAGGTCACAGGGTTATTGAAGGTTAAAAAAAAAAGTGCCCCAGCCATCCTACCACACCCCATAAAATTAACAGAAGTCCATTTCCCTGTGTGGAACCAGCCTTGAAAAGTTTCTTTTGGCCTGGCCCCAGGGGGAGGAGGAACCTTTTTTGACTCCCTTTCAGGCAGAGAGACAAACACTGTCTGCAGAGTGCTTCCCTTGGATAAAGGCGAGGGATTGTGAGTCCTTTGGAGAAGGTTAAGTAAGGTTAAGTGACCGTCATACACCCCTGCCATTTGTTGAGCTCCTGCTCTGTTCGAATCAGGAGCACAATTATATCATATATTTTATCCTCAAGACAACCTGTGAGGAAGGCAATTGATGGCTTCTAGGACAGAGGCAGAAGCTGATATTCAGCATGGCCAAGTCAGTAGGTGTTAACATTTAATACAGGAGAATCGCCTAGTGATCTGTTTATAATTGCAGATTCCCTGATTCCACCCCAGAGACTCAGATGCAGTAGGTCTGGGATGATACTAAAATCAGTGTTTTAGTAAAGGGCCCAAGTGATTCTGGTGCAAGTGGTGCAGGCACAAATCTGAGAAACCCTGGGCTAAATGACTGCCTAAGACCACACATGGTATAAGCAGCAGGATGTGAAACCAGGATTGCCAGATTCCAACCCCAGAGCTTCTCAGGCTAGACAGCAAGGCCATGAGCACACAGACCCCAGTGCCCTTTGGAGGTGCCCTCTGGGCTGTGTTCCCAGTCAGCAGGAGCAGAGACTTCTGGAGCCTTCCCTGTCAGCTGTTCCCAGGGAGCATGTGGCCGATGGCTGTGAGTCAGCGTGCTTTATTGCCACAACTGTTTCTGCCATGGCTGTGTGCAGCCCCCCCCGCCCCCCCCACCCACCCCCCCCACCCCCCGCCCCACTGGGCTGTTTACATCAGCCCATTCCCAAAGGGATTTTAATGTTAATGAGATACAGTTGTTCCAGAAGCAAGTGGCTCAGCAGGGCCGGTGGGCAGCCTGCTCCGCGTGCTGAGCCCACTGCAGGTACAGCTGCTATTTTCCTGACTGTTTCTGCTCCCACAAGACTAGCCTGGCATGTGTGTGTGGGAAGCAAGTAGCCACTGTGACTCTGAAGACACAGCACAGTGTTTCCTACGGATCTAGCTAGGCATGCCGTGTAAAGAGACAGTTTTCAGAGTATTTATCAAAGCATGCTTTCACAGTATTCTGAAAATGAAAAATGGAGGAAGCAGGAGGAGAAAGTTACTCATGGACGTGTCCACATCCACTATCCCCATCCCTACACAGGGGTAATCCTTAGTGTTGCAATATCTTTATTATTGTTTGTTATTCTAAATGTAGTACATATTCAGTTAGATAATTTAAGAGAAAAAGACAAACATTTAAGTCGCTTGTTATTTTTCTGTTTAGGGATAACTACTTGGGAGTATTACCTTCTGGTGTTTTTCTCCTTTCTGTGCAGTTATTTTACGGTGTGTTTCGGGTCACACAGTAAATGGAAATGCAGGTGTGTTTGCACTGAAAGCTGCTTGTCAGATAAATATCCAGATAGCAAAAGGGTCCCCTGTCTTTTCAGGTACCTCAGTAGAATTCAAAAGAGCAAAGAAAACAAGTATTTTATAAAATTGAATTGTTAGAATTTATAAATGACTGCCTAAGAGCACCCATGGTGTAAGTAGCAGAAGTCTGATTTCATCCCACTATCTAGAAAATTTGAATCTTGCTGTGCCGAATTACAAAGCTTTGCATTCACACGTGCTTCTTTAGTAAAGACAAGGCAAATAAATGCAAATATGGATCACCCCAAAGAGGAAAGTAGTGTTTTCAAAGGGACATTCTTTCCCCCAGGAAATGTAGGGGCCAGGTCTAATGCATCATTAATCACGCTGTAACCAGTTAGGATGCAAGACAAATGGCCTAGCAGGTAAACCCAAAAAGCCATTGATTACATTTCTGTATGGTTAGATCAGCCTTAGAAATATTTAACACACTCCTGGAGATATAGCAATTACTGCTAGTGGAAAAGAGAAGAATGTTGTATGATTCATTTTACTGACTGACTCCCTTGAGAAGTGGACAGATGTAAAATGGGTTTGGACTTGTCCACCTCACAGTTTTATTTGCAGTGGTTACACTCTACAACTTTATGTGGTCTCATGACAATTTCCCCTTGTCTCAATCTTTTTAGTCCTCTTATGAGCTCAGATCTCTTGAGAATTGCGGTAGTTCTGAGTTGTGGGCAGGCTAAGCACACAGGGCACTCTGTCTCTTCAAAAGGTCAGTCGATGGTGTGAGGCAGGAATCTACCTCCTGGCTTCCCAACCTGTAGACAAGTGCCAGTCTCGAGAGGGAGTTGACATCGCCTTGAACGACATTGAGACATTCCTGAGCACAGCCAAGGAGTACCAGTTGCCTAGCCCCAAGGAGTTTTACAACCAGTTTGAGTTGATACTCACCCTTGATGTGGAGGTAATGTTTCTGGGTTATTTTGAACTTGTGGTTGGGAAAGGGATGGGGGAGGAAGGCAATTTTGGCTGTTGCCTTAAAAAATCCACAGAGGATATACTGAGCAGGCTGTGTTGAGTGGGCTAACCAGTCTGAAGTCCTCAGGTGGCCTCTTAGACTCCTGGCCTGAACGTCCAGGCAGACTGATCCTTCATGGTCTGACTCAAATATCACCGTCAATCCATCACTTCTCTGTAAATACTTAAGGGCATTCCTGATGCATCATTCACTGTGCTGAGTGCTGAGAACACAGTGATGAGCAGAAACAGGCATGTGTCCATCCCTCATGGAGCTTGCAGTTAAGTGGGAGAAGCTGACATTAGTAAAATAATCACATAAATTATGTTGCAAGCTGAGATTAGAGCTCTCAAGGAAGGATTCGGAATCCTGCTGGGCACAGGACAGAGAAAATTGACCTGGACTGGATTAAAAGAAGCTCCTGGGAGAGTCATTCGAGGGAAAGCCTGGAGAGTGAGGAGAGGAGATGGGGGAGCCTCTGCAGACAGAAGGAAGAGCATGCAAGGCTTTCAAGCTGGAGGGAGTCGGGCACAATGCAGAACCAAAGTAAGGTGGCCAGCGTCCAGAGAGCAAGAGAAGGGTGTTTGGGCACAGTTAGAGTCAGATAGGATGGGACCTCATGGGCCACATTAAGGAGTTTGTTCTTTATTCTAAGAGAAATGGAAAACTATTGAAGGATTTAAGCAGAGGAATAACTTGATTGGATTTGCATTTTGAGAAGAGCATTCCTCTTGACGGATGGATCTGGGATCCACAACACCTTGTGTGTGTCTCTGTTTTAGGAGTTTCTTTACCTTTTTTGAGTGATAGACCTTGTTATGAATCTGATTCACATATTTTCAGGATTCTGCATACTCAAAGTGATCAAAAGAAGTTTGATGTAGGCATTGTTTACAAAGATAGAGGCAGGATTTAGGGACCACAACAAGGGATAGTGAAGCACCCTAAATCTAGCACAAAACAGGGAGCAGTTGCTATCCCCAAGCCTGAAGGGCCAAGGAGAACCCAGGACGAGCTGTAGCTGTGACTGTAAAAGAGGGAAGCCAGAAGGAACTGTGGCCTTGGGTGGAAGAATGCAGTCACTGGTAGAGAAATATATACCCCTATTTCTTTCTCTCCGACTTCCTGGTAGTACTTCCCCTCAGTCAAAGCCAACTAAAAGCCGGTGAGCTCATCTGATGAAGTCTGCAGAGGTCGGCTTCCTGCAGGCAGGGCAGGGCAGAGAAGAAGCAGTGGAGGGACATACAGGGAATGTCCTACATGCATAAAATGTTAATAGTCATTTCAGGGAACACTCTGAAATCCATCAGTGGACATAGGCGAAGAAGCTTTGCTTTAACATAACACACATCAAACTGTATTCTAGTTATTTATTCTGTCTTGCATATTACAGGGGGAACTCCTTAAGGGCACTGCCTTTGCCTCACTCATCTCTGCATCCCTGTGGCTAGCTGGTGCCTGGTATCCAATCCATGCTTGCTGGGCAGAGGGCACTGGGGACAGCTGGGTGTAGAGTTTTATTTAGTGCTGCTCTTTCTCTGACTCCTTCCAGTGGATTTTGGTCATGAGGTTTGAGCTTGAGGTGGGAGTGAGGGGAGGCCACTTTCTCCCAGAACAGGACTCTTCCACATCCCTGTCCAAGGGACCGAGAGAAAGCCCATCTGGTTTACATGCTACATTGCCAACACAGTAGCAGCAGCCCCAGGTTAAATGCCTTAGGCAGTGGAGACTTCACATCTTTTATGTTTACCTGGGTGGAGCTGGAACATATTCTTTTTAGTAATGTATCTCAAGAATGGAAAAAAAAAGTATCCAATGTACTCAATATTACTATAAATCAATATATAACCACCAACACACTCATATGAATGGCAAAACATAACTATAGTCCAGAAAGTAGAAGGGAAGAGGAGAGAGAGGGGAGGGAAGAGGGGTATAAGAGAAGGGAGGGCATTTGGGGGGACCTCACCTAATGTGCATGATGCCATGGTACATTTCAAAACTATTAAGAAATGAGTATAATTGTGATGGATGTGTTACTTAGTTCAATGTAAGCGTTTCACATTGTATATTGAAGCAGTACCCTGAACCCCATAAATGCATCAATGTACAAAGTTATGATTTAATAAAAAACAATTAAAAAATAAATAAAAATAAATTCCTTAGGCAGAATAGCCTCAGCCACTCCAAGTTCCAAGTCCATTGGCTGATTAAATAAGTGACAGGTCTCCCAAGGTGATGGTGACTGCAGCTGCAGTTCTGACCGTCTTCAGCACACCACCCACCAGAAAATGAATACAACTCAATGAACTACCTCTGAGAAACAGGCAGACGTATGGGTGAAGGGAAGGAATGGAAGAAAAAATGCTAATAAAAAAATCAGGATGTAAAATGGACCAAAATATCTCCAAAACCCCTCTTTTCTTCTTTTGGTTTGGAGTAAAATCCTAGGTTATAAAATTTAAATATCCTTTTGTGTCAGTGAGTGAGATTTGTACACTGGTGAGTAATGACTTTGTTGTTGGCATTGGTGCTCTGTACCTATAGAAATATTCTAGACACACGTCGTGTTGGAATAGACACGTGTATTTCCTCCCTTTGACAGTGGGGGAGGCCTAGAAGCAAGGAAACTGCACACCCAGCCCCACATCTTGTTTCTAACATCATTCTCTAATGAACGAAGCCAGGGGCTCCTTAGAGAAATGGCTACTTCCAGAATTGGGGCAGGAAATAAGCAAGATGATCCCGGATTGTCTTATAGTGCCAAAAAGTAAGGGATACTATTAATGGAACAGAAAACAGAGCAACGCACTGCAATGAAGAGACGTCATAGCTGACAGAGCACTCCCCGTGGCCGGTACTGGGACAGTGAAAGAATATTTAATTACAATTCAAAGTATAAAATATTTTACCAGTGAATCCATGCTGCTATAAATAAATGATGGAACAAGTAAATAAATGAGAGGAGAGGAAACTGATCTCTCGATGCAGAAGAATTCTGAATTATTTATGCAGATACTCTGCCCTCAAGGATGGCAAGCATAACTTCCCTGCTCCTTGAGCATGAACTGCACCTAGTGAACTACTTTCAGGGAGGAGGGGAAGGGAGAAATAAAAGTAACCTCCCTCTGGAGAAGTGGAAAAGCCTAACTACTATCACCTGACCCAGGTGGCCCAGGTCAACATCAACAGTCATAAGTCATAGTATGTTCCCATGACGTGATGTGATGCAGATGACAACTTACCTCTGTGGGTTTCCTCCCCTTAACCCACAGCCCCAATCTAATCATGGGAAACATTAGACAAATCCCAATGAAGACACATTCCACCAAAAGTCTGACCAGTACTCCTCAAAACCATCAAGATCATGAAAAGCATGAGAAATCCGAGAGACTGTCACAGCCAATGGGAACCTAAGACAATGACAATGAAACATAATGTGGTGTCTTCGGGGAGGAGGGGAAGGAAATCTAAATAAAGTATCAACTGTAGTTAAGGATAGCACATCAGTTTTGGTTTATTAATTGTAACAAAGGTACCATCCTGCCCTTACCACAACTGAAGATGTTAACAATAAAGAAAGCTGGCTGGGCACGGTGGCTCACACCTGTCAGGCGGATCGCCTGAGTTCAGTAGTTTGAGACCAGCCTAAGCAAGAATGAGATCCTGTCTCTACTAAAAATAGAAAAACTAGCTGGGCTTGTGGTGGGGGCCTGTAGTCCCAGCTACTTGGGAGACTGAAGGCAAGAAGATCACTTGAGACCAAGAGTTGGAGGTTGCTGGGAGCTCTATCCATGACACCAGAGTAACACTCTCTCCCCCCCAAAAAGGGTAAACTGAGTATGGGGTATATCGAACCCTGTATTACTTTGTAATTTTGTCATAGATCTAAAGCTATACTAAAAGATAATTTTTTTAAAAACTGGCATTCTGTGTCTAAAGATGGAATCTGTTACGTTGGAGACACAGTGAACCATATCAGAAATTAAGCTGTGGTTCTCATAGCAGCAGCCACTCTGTCACCGTCAGAGGCTCTTAAAGTGCTTGTTTCTACTACAGCGCCATTGTGTTACTCTCTTGGTGTTTCGGTTTTTCTCCCTTATTCACTTTCACTGCCTAGAGAGTCCAGAGAGTGAAACAATCTCAGTAGCAAATAGCAAAATACAATTCTTCAGATATTCAGCAGATGCCCAGTTTGTGCCAGGTATGCTGTGCTGTGTTCTGGGAATTAATAGGGAAAGTCCCAGTCCTGCAATCAGTAGGTAGGGGCTGGCAGTTTAGTGGAAGATGAGAGGCATGTCCCCAGTCAGTGCTCTGAAAGCATATAGAATGAAAGGGATGGGGGCATGCAGGGAGGCAGTCAGCCTGGACTGGAAAGGCCAAGGGTATTCCATGTAGGAGGGGTTGCCTAAATTTAGTCTGAAAGATTTGGTGACAGTTTTTCAGGGAAGTGAAGGGGGAAGGAGGGAACCTCAGCAGAAGGAACAGAAGTGCAGAGGCAGCAAGGCTGGGAACAGAAGGGCATTTGGGGAAGTGCCCCCTCTGGAGGACGGGGAAATAAAGAGCCTGAGCCTAGAGACTGACAATAAAGAGCCTGGTGCTGCAGGACCAGGAGTTTGGACTTTATCTTGATGCAGAGAGGAACCCCTGAAGGGCCTTTCAACAGGGAAGTTACATGACCAGAATATACATTTTAGAAAGATAATTTCAGCAATGCCTGTGGCTCAAGTGTCTAAGGCGCCAGCCACATACACCTAAGGTGGTGGGTTTGAATCCAGCCCAGGCCTGCCAAACAACAATGATACTGCAACCAAAAAATAGCCGGGCGTTGTGGTGGGCACCTGTGGTCCCAGCTACTTGGGAGGCTGAGGCAGGAGACTCGCTTGAGCCCAGGAGTTGGAGGTTGCTGTGAGCTGTGATGCCACAGCATTCTACCTGGGGGACCGTTTGAGGCTCTGTCTCAAAAAAAATAAAAAAATAAATAATAAAAAAAAAAGCCAGAAAGATAATTTCGATTGTGGTAAAAAGAATGAATTTTCAGGTGGAAAGGAGAAAGGGGAAATGAAATTGTTAATCTTGCATGAAGTTCCCCATTATCTGAGTTTAGTAATTTAAGGCCTCTCCTGACTGTCTCACCGTTACCAGGGTGCACCTGGGATCTTGGGGGGCAGGTAGGTGGCAAAGGTGATCCAAGTCCTGTCTCATCCAAGCAGTAAGTTGTTGAGACGTTGACCTCTCACTGGAGCTGTCCACCTTACATCACCTAGTTGAAGTCACTCAGTCAGATTTCTTGACCTTTGTGCAACAATTGACACCTGTCTCAGGTTCCTCCAGCTCATCACTGATCAAGAGGGCAAGGGTTGCAGCTACCAACTGTTACCATCATCCCCCCGGAGTACAGACTGACAATGCCCTCACACTGATACATAGGAGCTTGGTTTCTTGGGGGACTTGGACTCACAGCTGTGTTATCAGAATCTCTAGAAAACTATATAACTTCTTGGTACCAGAGAGTACATTCTCTGAAGAAACCCTTTCAGTACAGACCCTGAACTTAGTCTAGACTAGGGATCAGCAAACTGCAGCCTTGTGGGCCAAAATTGCTTGCCACCTGTTTTTGTAAATAAAGTTTTATCAGAACACAGCCACAGTCTTCATTCATGTATTATCTATGAACTATAACCGCCAGTAGTTACAACAAAGGCCAGATGGTTGCCAAAGTCTAAAATATTTACTATTTTGTCTTTTACAGAAAAATTTTGTGCAGACCAATAGAAATATAATGCAAGCCTCAAATTACACAAATGTAATTTAACATTTTCCAGTAGCTACATTTTAAAAAGTGGCAAGACACAGAAAAATCAATTTTAATAATGTTTTATTTAACCTATATGTTCAAAAATATATTTCAATGTATAATCAACATAAAAAGTTATTAATGAAATACTTTACATTATTTTTTTCAAATTGAGTCTTCAAAATCTAGTGTCTGTTTTACACTTACCTGAGTAGCTCATCTTGATTCAGACTAGCCACAGTCCAGGTGGTCAATAGTCACATGTGGCTAGTGGTTACTGTATTGGACAGTGTAGGCCTGAACTTCTGTCATAGAACAAACAGTTAAGACCAGCTCCAGAGCTTGGTCCAGAGGTCAGCCTCCATAGGCCCTGAGAGTACAGGAGAATAGCTGATCTAGAGTCGACACTCCAGGACTAGGGAAGCTTAGTTTCTCTGAGTCCTACTTCGGGGCTCTCTGCTCTTTTTCTCAGAAGATAGTCGAGCATAACAAAGGCAAATTTACCTTTCTGGTTGCTAAGTGTGCCAACCTCCATGGGTATATATGAGGCCTGCACTTTTGGAATTTGTCATCCTCAGGGAAGTGGCGGATCAGCTCTTCTGGGACTGGGTCTCTTCTTTGGTGGTTAAAATTATCCCCTGGGTTTGCCAGAGTTGGTATGACAAAAGGCTTCCCACTTCCCCAGTGCACCAGAGCTAGAGGGACATCCTGCTGGAAGCAGAGCCGGGAGAAACATAGCTGAACACGGTCCTCGGTGCAACTCAGACTTCCAGCTCTTGATTTTTGTTTTCCTGGGCTTCTGTTGTAGAATAGACAGTTAAGGGAACACCTATGAGCTCCATCTTTTCTCTAATATTTCTTCAGTTTATTACTTTCCTACTTATATAGAGAGAAGAGGTCATGCAGAAAAAAAATTAATATGTATCCTTTTTATTACAAGTGTCTCATGGTTCCCTTGATACTGCCTCAGAATTTAGCCAACTCTTTTCCTTAAAATACTTAAACTCTTTTTGCCATTTTTGTACCCCTAGACCTGAAAATATAGAGTCAGACCCCCCCCCCTTATGTGTAATCAATCAGAAATTTATTGAATCTGTGCAGGGGACTTGAGAGACAGTTCCACCCTAGGAGAGGGCAAGTTGCCTTATATATTTTTGTGCAAGCATTCTACAGAACCGAAACGTGGCTAGTTGGGGGAGGGGGGGGTTTACAGCTTGGGTAGTCATGGATACAGCAATAGTTACAGTTATGTAACAATGATTGATACAGCCTTGGTTGACAATGGATATATCTCAAAATACAGTGGTTATAGTTATGTGACCATGATTAATACAGCCTTGGTGGATTTCCACCATTGTTTGTCCATTGGAAACTTGGGACTTCCCATGCTTCAACTCTGGGGGGCATGGGAATGGGCTGGGAGAGCCCGTAGGTCAGGGGAATGGGCTGGGAGTGCTTACAGCACCATCAGGACTGTTCTTCAGGGTACCTTTGTTATTTTTATTACTTTTTTTGAGACATTCGTATTTGAATTTAATTATTTGTAAATATATTTTCCTTTAAAATTGCATTTTATCTCCGTGTTTTCTTTATGGGGGGGCATTAGTATGAGGGTACATACTATTAGGTTACATTAATTGCAATTGTAAGATAAAGTCCAAAGTCTGAGATGTTGTTTCCTTCACCTAGGAAGAGTGCTATATACCGCTGTGTTGTACCCAATAGGTGGGAACTTACTGAGCCTCATCTCTCATCCTCCCTTCTTGAATTTAATTGTGTTTTTCTCTCATATGAGCATGTACTTGTTACAATACTAGTTTCAGATTAGAAACAAGTATATTGGATACTTGCTTCTCCATTCTTGAGGTACTTAGGAGAATGTTCTCCAAAATCATCCAAGTAAATACAAAAGATGCAGAGTCTCCATTGTTTTGTGGCTAAATAGCATTCCATGGTATACATATATGACAGTTTATTTATTTATTATTTTTTGAGAGAGAGAGAGTCTCACTTTGCCACCCTGGGTAGAGTGCTGTGGTGTCACAGCTCATAGCAACCTCAAACTCTTGGGCTCAAGAGATCCTCTTGCCTTAGCCTCCTGGCTAGCTGGGACTACAGGCATCTGCCACAATGCCCACCTAGTTTTAGAAATGGGGTCTTGCTCTTGCTTAGGCTGGTCTCAAACTCCCGAGCTCAAACAATCCAGCCACCTTGGCCTCCAAGAGTGCTAGCAGTTATTTTTAAATCTTCCTGTTATACATTGGCCTAATACCCTTCATGTGTGATTGATAGCATCCTTTCCTACCATTAATGGACATGGCTTAGTGAACATTTATTCATCCACTCAACAAATATTTACTGAGGCACTAGCGATAGTGTAGTGAAAAGGTCATTGTCCTCAAAGATCTCAGATGGGAGATAATGATTCTTAGGAGCACAATTCTGGAGCCCAGCAAGATGTGCAATGACTTATATAAGGATGCCCAGAGGAATGGTAATCTGAAGGAGGAGAAGACGGGAGAGAGGGATGCTGCATGTCCTCAGCAGAGAAACCTGTGAGTCATCATTTGCTCTTGTTACTGCAGGCCAAAGCCCAGAAAGTCTTGCAGAAGCTAGGTGACGTGCAGGAAATATTTCACAAGAGGCAAGTGAGTCTAATGAAACTAGCAGCCAAACAGACTCGTCCAGTGCAACCTGTGGCCCCTCATCCTGAGTCTTCCCCCAAATGGGTGTCATCAAAAACCAGCCAGCCTTCCACCTCAGGTAGGTTATGTGGGGGAAGGAAGCTTTGTGACATTTGTGTTTCATAAGCACCCCTGAGGGGTGAGATCGAGGTTGTCTGAGATGAATAATGGTCAGTATTTTGACGGATGTTATTTAAAACAAACTATAGGTATGGCATAGGGCAAAATTGAAGACAAATGCTTAGATAATACTGAGTGCCTGGATACAAGGAGAAGCTCACAATCTACTAAAGGAACACTACAAGTGCACAAATAACATGAGCATAAAATACTCTGTTAAGGACCTTAAAGGCCCATTATTTATTAGCAATGGAGTGGTAAAATTGGTTCTTTGAGAAGATTAAAAAATAGATAAGTCCTTACACCAATACCATGTAGTCTTGATTACTGTTGCATAGTAGTGAGCATTAAGGTCAGGTAATATAAGCGTTCCAACTTTATTCTTTTTCAAGATTTCTATTTAATTTAGGTCCTTTTCATCCATAGAAATTTTAGAATCACCTTACAGTTTCTTCTGGGATTATGATTGGGATTGCACTGAATATATAGATCAATTTGGGGAAAATGGTTATCTGACTGATATTGAATCTTCCAATTCATGTTATATGAATATGTTATAACCCTTCATTTATTTAATTTCTCTCAACAATGTAGTAGTTTTAAGTGTAAAACTCTAAAGCATTTTATATTTTTTAACCCTATAGTAAATGGAATTTACTACATATAACTAATAATAAGAATATATTTCTAAAAATAAATAAATACATATATTTCCACATAGAAATACAGTCATGTCATCTGTGAATAAGGATGCTTTTACTTTTTATATTTCAATCTTTACATCTGTTTTCTTATCTTATTATAATGGCTGGGACCTCCAGTTAAGCAGATATTCTTGTCTTTTCTTAATATTAGGAAAGAGTTCATTAAAATATGATGTTACCTATAGGTTTTTCACAAATATCTTTCATCAGATGGAGGAAGTTCCCTTCTATTCCTATTTTTTTAGAGTTTTTATCATGAATGATTGTTGAATTTTTCAGATGCTCTTTTTGACACATACATCAAAATGATATGGTTTTTCTTCTTTATTTGTTAATATGATGGATTACAATGATGTATTTGTAGATGTTCAAACAGCAATACATTTTTGGGATAAACTGCTCTTGGACATGATGTGTATGTCGTGTGTTGCATTATGAAGCTCTATTATTAAGCATATCCATATTCATAACTTGTATTGATACGTTTTCCAGATGTATTAACTTTTTTTTTTAATTGGGGATTCATGGAAGGTATAAGAAACCAGGTTACACTGATTGCATTTGCATTTGTTAGGCAAAGTCCCTCTTGTATTAACTCTTTTATAATTATGGAATATCTCTCTTTCCCTCTTCATCTCTGGTAATACTCTTTAAATCTATTTTGTCCGATGTTAATGTCACAGCCATTTCAGCTTTCTTACACTTAGTCCTTGCATATGTATCTTTTTCATTCTTCTTTGCATTTAAAGGATATTTCTCATAGGCAGAATATGTAGTCGGGTCTTACCTTTTTAATACATTCTATTCCCCTCTCCCTTGGAATTAGTCCATTTACATACTATGTATTTATTGATTTGGTTAGATTGACAGCCACTTTTTTTTTCTGTGTGTTCTTTTTATTCCTCTTTTCCTACTTTCCTGCTTTCTTTGGGGCTAGTAAATATGTTTTAGTATTTTGTTTTAGTTTGTTTATTGGCTTTTGGGGTACTTCTTTGCATTGTTTTTTCCCCAATTTTTTCTTCTTTCTCCACAGATAATTACATACATTCTTTTTTTTTTTTGAGACGAGTCTCACTCTATCACCTGGGTAGAGTGCCGTGGCATCATACCTCACAGCAACCTCAAACTCTTGGTTCAAGCAGTCCTCCTGCCTCAGCTTCCTGATTAGCTGAGACTATAGGCGCCCAACAGGATGCCAGACTAGTTTCTCTATTTTTAGTAGAGACAGGATCTCACTCTTGCTCAGGCTAGTCTTGAAGTCCTGAGCTCAAATAATACACCTGCCTCGGCCTCCCAGAGTGCTAGGATTACATGCTCGAGGCACTGGACCCAGCCTTCTTATATGCATTCTTAACTTACCTCAAACTATCCTGAGCTAGTATCTTATCACTTTATGCAAAATATAGGAAGCTTGCAACAACATAGTTGCTACTAC